GGCTTTCGGGGAGTACCAAGCAGACAGCCTGTCAACTTCTCAGCTTAGGTCAGCTCTTAAGTGCTGGCTCTGCTGGCTCTGGGTCCTGAGTGAAGGAGCACAGCTAAGGGGACGGGGGCTGGTGAGTGGAGGAATGCATGAGCTCTCGCTGGTGCAGCTCTTCACTTTCTCCTGAGAAATGCCAAGGGCCAGGAGGGCTTTTCCCTTTGTCCATACCAAGGGCATGGGGCACCACATGTTGCAGGGTGGGGGGTGGTAATGAGAGGGTCACCCTGGCAGCTCAGGGCATAGCCCAGGAGCTGTTGAGAACCTTGGGAGTCTGTCCTGAGGTTGGTCTAGGCTGGGACAGCTAGCCCCTTTTGCTGCTGTTTAATCTGTGAGCCCAGAGGTTGGTTTAGCATCTCCCTGAGACTGGCATTGAGGGGTGGCAGGGCAGCTGAGTCCTGGGCTCTTGAGACGGTGGCAGGGGTGACAACATGGACTCTGCAGTCACCGGGAGCCACCTTGGGTTGACCTGCGCCCCAGCTGAGCCTCAGGAACATCCTCATTTGTTTCTGATGATTCTGTTTCAGAGGGAAGGGAAATAACACAATATTGGGGGGACAAGCATGACTTTCAACTAGGGAGACCCCATTTGAATCTCAGCTCTGCTGTTTACTCACTGTGGAGTCTTGGGTCAGGTGCTTAATTCTACTGGGCCGCTGGTATCTTAGGTTTAAAGTGGGGATGCTGATGCCTACCTCAAGTGCTTGTTGTAGTGATGGAACAATGGGAAAGTACCTTGTACAGTACTTGACAACCAGTGGGCTCTTGGTAAATATTCCCTTCCAATCATGCTGGCATTTAGCCACCACCAACTGGTCTCACACCCAGTGAGTGATGGCTCCATTTAGGCAGAATGTTGCTCTGATGTTCCAGTGTGCCCTGTCCCATGCTACTCTGAGGTTGGCCCAGGAGGGCTCCCAGCACCACCTAGGTTGGGGAGCCTTTGATGTGGCCAGAAGCAGTAGTGACCTGGCTATCTGACCTGATCTCCTCCCAGGACGAGAAGCTCACTGTGACCCAGGACCTCCCTGTGAATGATGGAAAGCCTCACATCGTCCACTTCCAGTATGAGGTCACCGAGGTGAAGGTCTCTTCCTGGGATGCAGTCCTGTCCAGCCAGAGCCTGTTTGTAGAAATTCCAGATGGATTATTAGCTGATGGGAGCAAAGAAGGGTAAGGAGCAAGTGCCAGGCAAGGGCTGGAAGCCCGCTTCAGAGAGGGGCGTTTGCTTCCTGGGGGCAGCAGATGGCCAGCCTTCTCCCCTAGCTCTCAGCTGCCCAAGTATATACCTTTTTTTTAAAGGTTAGTTTTAGCCAGTAAAATGGGCCTATGATAATGAAAGCAGATCATTACCACTTATAACCAAATCCCTGACATATAATGGTGGTTTAAACAGCCAGAAGCTCAAAGCAGCAGTGGAATTTCATTGGATTGGGCAAGGCCCTCCAAGCACCTAGTTGTGGAAGAAACAGTCCTGAGGATGGCGTTCTCGCAAGTGGCTCCAGCCTCTTGAAGGACTTTGAGGTGGTAGTAGGGCCCAGGGTTCCTCTCCGCAACAGGTGGTCACCATCAAACTTGGCAACTTTGACGGGCCCCTGAGAAACTGGTTTCTCTTCCCAAGCCCCATACTTTCTCGTAAATTGCATTAAGTTGGCTAGTATTAATTTCAGACAAAGAACCTTTATTCCTGGAAGAGAGAATTCTGAAACAGTTTTCTTAGTGATTGTGGTTTTTTTTTTTTCTGAACTCAGGGCTTCTGAGGTCTTGAAATAGGAAGTTCTCCTTGAAGCTTCCCAGCTTCCCTATTTTCAGTGCTGACTGTAAGCCTCAGAAAAGCCTTGGGAGCAGGGGGTCTAGAGGGGTGGGGTGAAGTCCACAGGTGGCAGTGGGCTTGAGTGGTTTTCTTTGCTTCCTGCAGATTGTTAGCACTGCTAGAGTTTGCTGAAGAGAAGATGAAAGTGAACTACGTCTTCATCTGCTTCAGGAAGGGCCGGGAAGACAGAGGTGAGGGGCTGAGCAGCTTGAGACCAGGCTGGGGAGGGAAAGGGAGGGGGCTCCTAATGAGGTAGGGCTCCCGACTTTGATATATAAACCCTAGGAAATCGTGGGATTGGTTGTGTTCAAATTTAGGAAAGGCCAGTGCATTTATTCTATCTTTGTTTTGGGTTTTCCCTTGATTTAGCCTACCTTTGTTTCATATCAGAATCTTTTTTTACACTTTTCTGCAGCTCCACTCCTGAAGACCTTCAGCTTCTTGGGCTTTGAGATTGTGCGTCCAGGCCATCCCTGTGTCCCCTCTCGACCAGATGTCATGTTCATGGTTTACCCCCTGGACCAGAACTTGTCCGATGAGGACTAATGGTCAAAGAGGATGCTTTGCCCAAGAGCCACAGTGGGGGAAGCGGGGAAGTTAGGCAGCCCTGAGACAGAGGAGGGGGCTTCTTGCTGTCCAGGGAAGGACGCTGAGGGGCTCAGGGTGAGGGTTGCCTATTGTGTTCTCGGAGTTGACTCGTTGAAATTGTTTTCCATAAAGAACAGTATAAACATATTATTCACATGTAATCACCAATAGTAAATGAAGATGTTTATGAACTGGCATTAGAAGCTTTTTAAACTGCGCTGTGTGATGTGCTCTATCTAGCCTAGGGGAGGACATTGCCTAGAGGGGAGGGACTGTCTGCATCCAGGGGCCAGGCCTGGAGGGCTGGGGACAGCACTGTCAGGCTCAGGTTACCCTGCTGTTGGGCTTTCTTTTTTTGGTTTTTAAGATTTGTGTATTTTCTTTCCTTGCTTCCTGTCACCCAGGGGACTCTGGGGTATAGGCTTTTCACCCCTGGGCAGTGTCCTTCTGTTGTTTTTGACACCCCACCTGGGCTTCTCTCTGTGCATTTGTATCTGGCCTGGAGAAAGCAGGTCTGACCCTGCCTTTACAGCTTAGTGTTATTCTGGCATTTGGTTAAGCTGGCTTAATCTGTTATCAGTGCATTCAAAATAGGGGCACTGAAGTTTACTCCTACCACCAGGGCTTTATTTTGGGGGTGCCTGGGTCTTAAAAAACACTAGCCAAACTCCAGTTCTCAGATTACAGCCAGGAGTTCTTGCTCTGGGCTGCAGGCCTAGGCCTCAAGGGTCTCCTTCCTAGGGTCACAAACAGCAGAGAGGAAGAGGAATAGCAACTCAGGGCCTGGGGGTTGTGCGGGAATTGCTGTTTGGGACTGGATGCCTCTGCCTGGCTGAGTCTAGTGCTAACTGCACCCCCACCCCCCCAGCAGGTTCTGAGTAGTGCCTGAGCCCCTGTTGTACGGGGCTCTCCTGTGGGACTGAGGGGGTAGAAGTGGCCCGCCCTTTTCTGTTTTCACTGAACAGCTTGTTCTAAGGGGGAAGGAAGGGGGAAAGATCTCGACTGGGTGAGGGGGCAAGTGTGTTGTGTTAGTGTGTCAATAAACTGATTTAAAGTTGTGGTTGGTCTGTCCTTTACTCCTCAACCAGGGCCGGCTTCCTTCTACTGCTGCCTTTTGAGTCTAGAGCCCAGCTCGGCAGGGATGTGATACACGCTTCTCAGGAAAAAAGCCGCTTTGCATCAGGACAAACGGCTGAGGTCTCTGGGGCCACATTACAACGCGAAGCAAGGGGTTGCTAGGAGTCTGGGACAAAATGCTGGAGCCCCCTAGAGACAGGTATGTACACAGAGCTTCATCCAGAATAGAGGCTAGACATACCAGGACCCGACTTCTTTTCTGTCTAGAAGACCAGGTCCTGAAACTGGGTTCTGGCTTTCACACAGAGCTGCCTGACATTCCTGTTCCTGGGGGTGTCTGAAGGAAGTGGAACTCACCTTCCCTAGGAAGACAGTATTCTCCTTTTGGAGCCCAGTGCCCTAAGGCACGGCTGCCCTTCCCCGGTACCACCAGCCTGCTGAATCAGCTCTCAGTGGCACTGGAGGGGGATAGAATCCTCTTCACCTATGTTGTCTTAGTTTCTCAAGGGTTTACTAGTTTTTGTTTATTTTTTTTCCCCCTTTTGCTTCTGTTTTCCCAAATGAAGTACTGGGCATGTTCTTCCACCTCCTACGACTTTAGAACTATTTACTTACTGTTGAACTGTGGCTGTCCTTATTTTCTTTCTGAGTCTTTGGTGCATTTCACATTGTTCTATGTTGAGCTTGTGTTTTCATACTGGACCAAGTCATTAACCTTGGGCCCTATGTAACATTTATGAAAAGAAGTGAGTTCAACACCTCCATCCCATGTGGTATTAGTAGAGAAAGTCTGGGCCTAGGAATTTCCCTGGTGGTTCAGTGGTTAGGAATCTGCACTCCCACTGCCGGCGGGCATGGGTTCAATCTGTGGTCAGGGATCTGATCTCACATGCCATGCAGTACAGCCAAAAAAAAAGTCTGGGACTAGAGATGAATTCAACTGAAATGTGAAGGACTTAGAAAATGTCTTCCACTGAGCAGATAATCCCTAGAAATAACATAAAGTCTGAAGAATGACTTTACAAGTCACTTGTAAAGTCATTACAAATGAGATATTTACAATGGGAATCTCTGTGACTGCTGACAATGGCCAAGTTAATGTAGGCAGTTTAGGATTCAGATCGAATGCTAAATTGAAACCCAAGGAATCTACAAGACAGGGATAAAGAACCAGGAAAAACAGTTTTCTGTTTGCAAAGCTAGCAGAGTGGACCGGAAACATACCTGGGACTTTGCTGCCATCTGCTGGTACATCTTCTTTAACACAACCAGAGTTAGGCCGAATTGGAAACCTGGGCACTCAGTTCAGGTTTATTTCTCTTTCAAAAATAAAAAACTTTTGGTAGATGAGACCAGTGGCAGGACAGAAATACGGTATCCAAATTCTGCGCTCCAATTAAAACAACTAGAAGGTGAAATATCTTGGGAGTGGGAGGGTGGAGTTGGAAGGGGAGATATGTGAAAGGCAAACTAAGTCTAAATTTAAGAACAGGGACATTAAAAACTTTATTCAATAAATACAACAAATAATTTAAAAATATACTTCAGTTCCAAAGCCAATTAAGAAAAGGAAGTAGAGAGAAAGGGAAAAAAGGGGAGGAGGAGGAAATTAGAGGGAAAGGAGAAAGTTCAAGAGGTGGAACAATGGTTTGGTTGGGCTGCCTTTCTGAATGTACCGCCCTTTGAAATTCTGATCAAATGCTCTTGACCCATAAGCCCGTAGCCCTTGTTCTGTTAGCCACAGGAGTCCACCCGCCAAGCACTATGCTCTGCGCTCTTGGTGGAGCAACTCTGGCGACTAGCATCTAGGGGAGTGTTCAGTTTCCCACTGGTTCCTAAAATTCATCTAACTCCCTGGCAGGTTCAAGTAGTGCAAACTCTTAGAGAGCTCCCAGCTGCATAGTTTCACAGCGAGTGTGAAAGCCACTTTGGTGAATGGGATCTATGGGGGCAGGGTGGGGCGGGGCGGTGGGAGGTGGTTGGCACCGGGTGACAGGAGAAGCCAGGGCCCAGGATAAAGCTCCTGGGTAAGCCTGCAGCCAGGCCAGGGAAGGGCTGCAGGGTATGTAGGCTGGACACGGGACTCAACAGCATGCCATCAGCCAGGGAAGGTGGAGCTGAGGAGGTGTATGGAGCAGGACTGGAAGATCAGGAGAGCTGAGGGAGGACGGAAGAGTGAGGAGGAGAGAGAGGCAGCTCAGCAGCAGACTCCAGGAGAAATAACCAGCAGCCCTCACAGATTTGTGATTGTCTCTTAAAAAGATTTATTTTCTCTTCTTGCCTGAATGTACAAAGGCAAAAAGAGTACAGTTTGTATATATATATATTTATATATATATATAAAAAAACAAGGAACTTGGTAATGTACACTTTACAGAAGGGAAGAATCAGGAAGACTGAAATTAAATTCAACAGAGCAACGCCAATGGAACAAAAGCTATGAACAGCAACACTGCCCCTCCAGCCCGGGCCTCCAGCTCGCCCCAACCTGCTCCCAATGGGGGGCTGAGCACCAAGGCAAGCGGGTGGGCTGGGGCAGGAGGGGCCGGGGACGGGGCCTGGGAAGGGCTCGATCCCAGGAGGGGCCCATGGCAGAGGATCAGCAGAAAGCTTCCTGGGATGCCCTAATAATAAAACAAATAACAAAGGCCCAGAATTAGGGGGCCAGCTAGCTGCCCAGTTGAATCTTGGGGGCATCAGAGTAGACACTTGAGATGGTGGTAAGGTGTGTGGGATAACAAGTGGCCCGTATACAATGACACTAGCCCTTCTGTAGCCTTTTCCTCCCGCTCCCAAGACCAAGCCCTCCCACCCCCACCTTGGAGCCTGGAGAGAAGAGATTCAAGAAGCATCATTTCATTTCATGGGTGCCCTCTTAAGCCTTCTGCATATGGTCCGTTGACCTTGAGATGTGTGGAGGGGGTGAGGTAAGAGAAGGAAATATACATGTATACATACATGTACAGGCAGGGAAAGGGGATGAAGGGAACTGGCACAACTTAAATGAGGAGGAAGCAGATGTCAGTCCTAGAGAGCAGGTCTCCAAGCCTTGGCTGTCCTACTTGGGCACGAGGCTGCCTCCCGCCAGCTTCTCTGTGGGGCTCGGATGAGCCGTGTCTGTCAAGAGAACTGGGCCAGGGAGAGCTCAGAGAGAGCCTTGGTCTGGTGACCTTGGCCGTTAGCAGCAAACTCGTCCAGCCTTTGCTGGGGTGAAGTGGGGTGGGGATCCTTGAGAGAGTCATCCCTGTGACTGGGTTGCCAGTGCCACAGGTCCCCACCTGTGGTCCTCCTCCCCAGGGAGAGAGGCTAGAGGCGGACAGCAAACCCTTCACTCAGTGCTCCTCAAGGCTGTTTCACCCATCACTGCTGCTGCTTCATGTCACCTCAGGGAGGGACGACAGGCCTGGTAAGGATCGGGGACCAGGAGGATCAGGGAAAGGCAGTGCTGTTCTGCCATCGATGCTCTCATCTGCTCTTCCGGGCAGCTCAGCTCCTGCTTTTCAGGATATAAGGGTCAAAAAGCCAAATGTTTTTTAAGGGGGAGAAAAAAAGAAAAAAAGCTGTTCCCTTCTGCAGAACCCAAGGCTGTCCTGCTAACACAGAAGTTCCTCGTCTCTGTTACAGAACGAAGTGGAAAGGGCAGGAATCCTGGGCTATGCCTACCCAACGGAAAAGAAAATTACTCCAAACGGTTTCTTCACAATATGTACAGAGCACGCTGTAAGGCAGCGCCACAGATACAAAACACACAATATTTAAAAACAAACAGGAACAGAGATGGGCCCATGACTCCACCCAACAGGAGCCGGGAGGGCATGAGCAGGCTGAAATTCAGAGCCATCCTTTGGGTGGGGACGACTCAGGTGAGGTGGGGTGAAGATGTCCACACTGATGACTTCCATGGGTAAGAGGGAAGTCACTGCTCAGAGCACTCCCGAAAGGACAGCGGGGGGCAGAAGGACTGAAGGGGACAGGGAGGCTGCTCAAGGGCCTGCTAGGAGGTCTAAATCAGCAGGGTTTGGGAGAGGGCTCAGAACCCAACTTGAACAAAAACAAGGACATGGGAACCTAGAGGAAAGGTCTATAGATCAGAGGGGCTCCTCTTGGGCAAAAGACCCTACACCTCTCTAGAATGGGGCTCCTCCGGGGATCTCGGAAAGCAGCCTCTGCTGGGCGTTGTGCTTACTGTCTTCCATCTCCATGCCCCACACTGTCAGAGCCAAGTCCCTGCTCTTAAATGGTCATTTTGGCACTCTGGTCACAAAGACTCGTCTCTAACCTAGCTTGGTGTCTGTCAGTCTTCATCTCTCAATCCAGAGGGTCAAGGAAAGACAGGAGAGGAGGAGGACAAAGGGATGATATCTCAAAAACAAAGTAAGAGCTAAAGCTCCCCACACCTTGGGGAAGAAGTGACTGTAGTAAAGCTACCAGATCATTGTCACTTTCCCAGGACAAAGAGCATAAAGCCTGGACTGGACTGCATTTCTAAGGAGAGCAGAGAACTGTGTCTGCCTCAGAGCACAGCTCCACTGACTACGCCCGGCGGCTCTGAGGAGTAATGGCTTGCACGTGTTGTCCTAGGGTCTAAGGAACAGACAGACGCCCTCCAAGGTGCAGTGTTCCCTAAAACAAAAACGTTGAGTTACAAAGAAACACGGCTCATGTTGGCACGCGTGGGGCTACAGGTTGAGCTATAGGAAGTCATGTGGTTGTGTACAGAGAAACTGGGCTGGACAGAACTGGACCCCTTGATGAGGCCGACACTTGGATGGCTGCTTGGACAGGACATCTCTCAGAGGGCTAGGCGCTCCCAGGGCCTGCCTCCTGGCAGACTCCAAAGCTCCCCATGCTGGGGGAATACGATTTTACCTGCCTGAGTCTTAAAAGCCAAGCAGTGGAAAGGAAGAAGAGAGATGAGATGCCCCTGGAAAAGGCACCAAGGGGTCGGGAGGGAGATGAGGACAGGGCAAGGGGGAGGCTAAGGGCAGCAGGACTTGGTGGGACGCAGCGTCTCGTTCACAGGCTCCGTTCGTGCTCCAGCTCTTGCCTGGAATCCCCAGGGAGCCCGATGCTGGCCTCGGGGCCCCGGCTCTCTGCCTGACGGGCAGCCCAAGGCCACAGTGGGCAGATGCCTTGGTCTCCCTTTCCAGGCTGGGCTCTGAGCATTTACATGTGCTCATGTGAGAGGGGAGAAGTCTTCACGTTTGAAGACCTTGTTTTCACAACTGCAGAGAAAACAGCCCCCAATTTCTTTCCTGAGATTCTAATTCCTCCACGTGCTGCCAGTTCCCAGGGCCCAAACCACTGGGGAGATGCAGGGTCTGGTGATGGTGGTAATGACGGTGAAAGGGGTATGGCTGCTGTGCTGTCTTCAGACCTTACCCAGTGCTTGGGGGGCCCTCCCTGGGGGGTTGGTACTACTCTGGCAGCTGACCATGGCTTGGGGAACAGAGCAGTAACTTCTCTGGGCTGAGGCCATGTTCCCCTGGTTGCTCCCCATGCCTTCATCTCCACAGAGGCCACAACAGTCACGGCCGTGGCCAAGAGAATAAATACTTTTGCTAAGTACCAGCTCTCCAGCTCCTGAGGAAGAGGGAGGGTCGGGGAGTCCGGGGGTCTGGTGGAGGCGAGATAGCCAAGGATCTGCCTTCAGTCATGGTGGGAACGGCAAACAGGATGATCAACACCATTTAACTGATGTCTAAACGGCACCTCCAGCACCTCCTTGGGTAAGCCAGTCCGGGCCCGTGAAGCTGACTTTATCCGGGCACTTGGTGTTCTGCAAGGGAAACATGGACAGAGAACCGGGTGCTCAACCGGCTGGTAAAACCACCACAAGGTGGCGCTCCAAGAATATGAACTGCAGGGGAGGCCAGTCCTGGTCCCTAGGGGAGGCGTGTGGTCCCTCTCAGAGGTTCCCCGGGAAACTTATACAAGAGGCTTGGTCAGGGTTGCTCCATTTCCGGACCGCAGCCCAGAGATGTCCTTCACTGAGGCTCCACAGGGATTCTGTGACCCAGGTATCAACTATCCCTGCTCTCTCTGTGCTGAGTTAAAAGTTACTCACCATTCTCACCTCCGGGGGGGTGGGTAGAGTGAAGGAGTTGCGCCTTGCTGGCTGGCAACAATGGCTGTGGAGGAAAGCCCTGAGTGAGGAGGAGGACAAGTTAGTGCAGCGCTCGCTCTCTGCCAGCTGGGTGGGTGCTGGCAGGAGTTTCTTCAATGCCTAGCTCCACTGAGTTTTGGGGTGCTGACAGAAGAAAATCTGATACTTGGCCAGATATAGCAGCTGGGGATAGACAGACAGGCTCTGTTTTTCAGTTGCTTGTTACTCTTTGGCTGTGGGAACACCTGCTCCTTATTCTTCTGAATATCAAAGTCAATTTTCTGGAGGAGTTAGAGAATCCCTGAGCTCCAAGGGAGGAAATAAATGTTATGATTATACTGATTGTCTGCAGGAGGCTAGGATTCTGGACAGATTGGAGGCTCAAGGGTAAGAAGAGGAGGAGGGGCTTCCTGCCAGGGGCCCCCTGCTATGGCAGTGCTACTGGATGGTTGTGGGGAGATGAGGCTTACCTGCTGCGTAGGGTAAGTTGTACTGTGCTGGGAGCAGTGAGTACCCCAGGTGGTGGTGATGGTGGTGCGTGGACATCAGGCGCTGAGAAGGGGAGGTGCGGGGCCGGTCAACACTCCTTTCACCCCCGCCTGCTCCCCCGACGCTGCTACAGCTGCCACCACCCCCAACCACCCCACAGCCTCCCCGATCTCTCTCCTGAGAAGTTTTATCACTTATCTGGAAAGGAAAGCAGACACAAAAGCTCTACTGTGAGGCACACACATGAAAGCAAGATGCCCCAAGCCCACACTTTGACTCCTTAGAGATGCAGGACACCCAAGAATCAAGGAGGTGCCTGGGGGAGCTCAGGTCAGGCCGGCCACACCACACTGTTATTGGGACTCGAGCCAGCCCACCTTCTCCCAGACCCTGGCTCTGCCCGTCCTGGTCTCTGACAATGGCCAGTGTCTCTGCGCGTTCCTTACCGTGGGAGACTTGCTCTTGTAGTGACTGGCATGCTGCTGCAAGATGTCCAGGGCTTTAGACTCTGAGCTGGATTTACAACTGACACTGGGGCTAGCTCGGGCCTTGTCAGCATCTTCACCCCCCGAGACCTTGCTGCCATATGGGGAGAAAGAATAGCTGGAAGGCAGGTAGGAACCTGGGAGAAAGAAATAAAGCAGTCAGAGAGATGGGAGAGGCAGGATAGATTCTGCTTCAGTGAGCCTGGTGAGGCTCAGGCTGAGGGGTGTTCCACTACAGTGTCATCAGGCTGAGACTCTTAGCGTGTCCTTCCTTTACTGACCTCTGGAGGCAAACAGCTAAGGGATGCTAAGAACATGGCCCTCAGTTTCTGGGGAATCAACTCCCTTAGAGCCCCAGTCTCAGATTCATCTCCAAGAGGTGCTACAGTCATAGGATTAGAAAGGCTGTTGGATTTGAAGTCATGTCCTTGGGCTCAAATCTGACCTCTGAGACTTACCTGTTGGGTACCTCTGAAAAACTGAACAAGTTCATTAGCTTGAGCTAATCTGAATTAACCCTTTGAGGTTCAACTTCTTGACCATCAAAATGAAGATACTAATACTGATTCCATAGGGTGACAGAGAGGATTAAATGAGATAATGTACATGAATCACCTAGTCCAGTGCCTGGCCTAGAGCAAGTACTCATCAAATGGAACTACTGTTTTTATACAGAAGGACTGGGGTAACAGGAGAAAGGAATACTGTGGGAAGAGACAATTTCCTATTTCTGTTTGAAAAGCTCACATGTCCTACTTAGAATCTGCCTTAAAACATCAATATCAAGACTGAGCTGCTTTTCTACAGTGAGGTGGGAGCTCCAGAAAGTGAAAGAAGGGCTCTTTAGGCAACAGAGATCAGTGAGTAAAGGTAGCATTTTCTTCTGAACTGACTAGTCCAAAAACACTTAAACACCTACTCTGTATTGCCCTCCCCCCGTGTTGCCCTCCCCACCTTTTATACTCCATGGCAGTATAAGAGCTTATCTTTTCCAAACTGAACCTTCCCCTCACTGGGCCTCCCCTCCATGACTGCCTGATGACTTTATGCTAAACATGATCTTGCTGATGAAAACATTCATTCTCCTGATGTGAATTTTACTTTGTTCCACGTGTCTCTCCTGCTGCAATTAAGTTGTGAGCTCCTTGAGGGGACTGAAGTAGTCTTCTCTATTTCTTTTATATTTCCCCCAGTGTCTAGCACGCTGCAAAATATAGAGTATGTGGTTTTCTTTTGGCCATACCCCAAGGCATCTTAGTTCCCTGACCAAGATCGAACCCACGCCCCCTGCAGTGGAAGCAGAGTCTTAACAGCTGGACCGCCAGTGGTTAAGTCCTTAAAGTATGTGTTTGGAAAAATCCCAGCTGAGGGAAGATGCCTCTGGTAGATCAGGTTTTGCCTTCAGTTATCCATAAAAACTGACTGCAGAGTCAACCCTTCACCTGGTGCAAGGGAGGAAGGACTGGTCCCACAGACTGTAAGCAGGGGTCACTCAAGGAGCTCAGGGTTAGAGTGACCACAATACCACATTCACATCAGAGTTACCATCTACCTGAGCCTCAGTAGCCTTAGCAAGAAAACTGGATTTGAAATCTGCTTTGTTTCCCTTCCCAGTGAGCGGAGCAGCAGCTGGAGTGCGGTGCCGTACCTGGGTAGTTCTGCATCATCACGGCAGGCATGCCACGGTAGCTGGGGTGGCTGGGGTCATAGGACTGGCTGTAGGAGTAGCCGTGCATGTAGGGGATGTAGGACTGGTGCTGGGTGAGGGGGGAGGACACAGGCACGTGGACGCTGGGTCGGGGCTCCTTGCTCCCGAGGCGGGATTCCTCTGGTGTGGGCAGCTTGCAGTCACTACTTGTGCTTTCCTTCCCATCCTCCTTGGGAACAGAGTCCTTACTCCGACTCCTTTCCTCCTTCAGTTTGCGGTCCCGCTCCTCTTTCCACCTCTCATCCTCTGACTTGATGTCCGAGTACTTGGCAGGATAGACATACGTCCACATCCGGGGCTCTGCTTCCTGCAACAATCACAGAATGACGTGAGTGTTGTACAGATAAAAGAGAGAGAGATTTCAACTCCAAGGTCCCAGTTGAAACACCAGAGCAGAGCAGCTAATACCAGACACCTGGGGCACTGCAGGATCTGGGCCGCTACTGACCTTAGTTCAAAATCAACTATGGTCCCTCCTGCTTAAATGGCTGTCCCCTCCCCCCAACAGAAGGATATAAATTGTGGGGAAAGAGAGGGAAAATCCACTGATGGGTCTTCTCTATGAGAAAACAAGCATTTGAGGGAAGTGACTGGAAGAAGCTGTTCCCGTTCCAAGGATATTTAGGTGGTTTCCCTTCTTCAGAGCAAGTTTGGGGGCAGAGAGCTGTAGAGGCTGCTCCACTCAGAGGAGGGTGCGCTAACTGCGGCACAGAGAGGGGGCCTTCCTAAGCCTCATGAATAGAGAAACAAGTAAGACCAAGCTCTTAGTTCTAACTCTGCCTATGAAACCTTTTTGAGAGTAATTCAGTCTGAGAAGGGTGCTTCCGCCTACTTTAAAAACTGGAGAGACCACCTTTCTTCATTCCGTGGGAACCACACAGTGGATAAGACACATTTAGGCATCACTAGGTACCCGGTTCCAGTTCTGGTTCTGCTGGTGAAGTCTTGAGTACCTCCAGACAAATCAAGCTAACTTACCTGGGCCTCTCTTGTTAAATGGGAAAAACCTCTTTCACTGGTGTGAAAAGTGCTTTTAAAAAAACATTAAAATGATTTACAAAGGTAAAGAATCCCTAACATTATAGACTTCTCCTGCTATCCATACTATGTTGATTCCCTACATAAGGACGGCTCTGATTTATGAGGAAGAGAGAAAGACTATCCAACAGTATTTCCATTTCCTTCCAGAACAGTTACCTGTCGGTACCAGAGTATTGGATCCACCTCTGCCTGTCGGCCACAGTCGGCACCTGTCTTGGCCTCAGAAGCCTCCTTGCCTAGGTGGCTGGCCTCACTCAGCTTTACTTTAAGTCCTTCTGGGGCCTGGCTGGGGAGTTTGGAAGAGTCATCTAACTTGGGAATAATGACTGACTTGGCAGGATCCGCCCCTGGCTCCTTCGCCTTGCTGTGTCCTGACTTTACCAGGTCCGTGAGGCTGGGGGCCTTGGTGAGAGTTGGTGGAATTGGCGGCTTTTGCTTCCAGTCTTCCTTAAGTGCTGCCTCCCGCTCCTTCAGGCCCATCTCGGCCTTCTTGTCCAGTCCTCGCTGCTGCTGCTCCAAGCTCTGCCGTTTCTGCTGCTCTTCGTACTGCTGTCGGTAAGCGGAGTTGGTGCTCAGGAGGTGGGTGTGGTAGCTCTGGTCGCTGTAGCCGTAGGGGGGCACGTAGGCATACTGGTTGTAGTACAGGGACTGCATGTACATGTTGGGACGCTGCTGGATGACGGAGGGCTGCTGGCTGGAACTGCTCAGCTCCGGCTTCTTTTCCTCACAGGCATCGTTCTTCACTTTTCCCTCTATGCTCTCAGGTTCCTCATCCTTTTTTGTCTTCAGAGCCTGGCTCTCCACTCCTGCCTGGCTGCTGGGGTTCAGAGCCCCTGGGCTGGACTGTGCATAGCTTGGAGAGTAGTAACTTTCAAAGCCTTGGTAATATGGTGAGTCTTTGCTCTGTGGCTGAGGGGGGAAAAGAGTTTTCTTGGCCCCTTCCTTGACCAGCTGCTCGGGGTCCTTGGATTTGACACTGTCCACTTTACCCTCTCCATCCTCCCCAGCATCAGAAATGTCAGAGTATGCAGGGCTGTTGGTTTTGACTGAGCTGGCTTCAGCTCCATTCTGGGTCACTACGTGTAACGGGGTCATGGGCTGGGTAGGGGTAGTGCTATCTAGGCGGCTACTGCCTCCAATTGAAGGGCTGGGAGCATTGTCTGTGAAACTGTAGATCTTGTCAGCTTCTGCCTTGATGCTGGCCAGTCGGCTCTGGTGGGGGTCTGAGGAGCCATTCAGGAGGCCCTCCATCTTCATCCCATCTCCCGATGACTCCCTGAATGGGCTTTTGCCTTCTTCTACTCGACATACCTTCCCAGGGGTCAGAGGACTTTCAAGTTCCTTTGAAGATTCCTTCTTTTTTTTCTCTTTCTTTTTCTTGTCCTTGGCTGGAGTCAAGGCAGGGTTGACTGTAAAAGGTTCTCCCATCACAGTGGGCTTGGGCTGAATGGGCTTCAGTTGGGGACTGTTGGGCATGGCCTGGACCACGGTGGTGGTCAAGCCTGAGGAGGAGCCTGGGCTTGCTGCCGTGAAGGTGGCTGTCTGGAAGGTATAAATTTGCTGTGGGGGAATGGCAGGGGCAATGGGCCGGGCTGACTTTAAACTTTTGGAAGGAATCTTTTCAGGTTTCAAACTAGAGGGCTTTTTACATTTTTCCTTTTCCATACACTTCCTTTCCAAAGAATCAAAAGCATCATTGCTTGTTTCATCCATTACTGAGGGTCCATCATCAGAGCCATCATTGGATAAGGCCCCGAGATCTGTGTCCCCTTCCCCACTCAACTTTTTCTTACAGAGGCCTTTTGTGCTGAATTTGCTTGAAGGAGAAGGGCTATGGGGCTCCACGAGCCGAACTTTGGGGGTAGCTGAGCGGGCAGGGGACAGGGAACCCTTCTGTGAGACAGATGCGCCATTGCAGCTCCCGAGATCTGCATGGAGGGTGGGCTCCTCTCCGTACTCACTGTCTCCGTCTGCTTCTGGCTTGCTGTCATCATCTGTATGGGCATGAGCTTGGTGGTACTTAAGTCCATTGATGTGCTTGTACTTTTTGTTGCAGTTTGGGTGGGGACAATCAATCAGGACTGGGGAAGGACAATTTCTGTCTAGAACAGTGGGTTCCACCTTGGTCCCAGGGAGAGGGCCAGTGGCTGAGCCCATGGAATTCGTACGGACACGTTTGCTCCCTTTGGAGTCCTCTGAGCTAGAATTCAGCTCCATGTCTGAAAGGGGTTTGTTTTTCCGCTTATTAGCTGAGGAAGGGCTGGCCTTGACATCCTCACAGGTGCTACTGGCAGGCGGGCGATGTTCTGAAGAATTCTGGCTGCCCCGACGGCCTTTGCTATTGGCTCCTGCTCGGGTTTTGCTGTTGCTGCTGGTCCCTTTGCTGTCGGAGGCTGTGGCTGTCTCATTGACAGGCGTGTTACTGTTGGGACGCATGCGTTTGCCTCTACCCCGACCATTGCGCATTTCCAAGTCACTGGTGGGAGAGTCACAGAACCTTGGCAAATGACAAACACAACAAGATATTATTAAGAAAAGAAGCTACCTTCAAACCAGGGTAGCTGCAGCCTCCAAAAGAACTGTCCAGATGGTAACTATCATTTTTAATGAGTATTATTTGTTAAAGAAACTTCTGAAAACAGGCCAACTGCATTACTGGTGAGCTTCTAGGATGTTACCTGCATGCTAGCTATAAATTATTCCCAGAGATTTGGGTTCTCCCAACCCTGATGAACAGGAAATTAATACTAGGAACTAGCTGTAAGATGAAATTCACTGAAATATCAGTCTTATGGCCAACTGCAACTTGAAAGGTCTTTGTGAAATCCAGATTGTCTAATGGAGTTTATGAAACTGAAAATGTTCTTGAGTTTTAACTTCTGAGAGATAGCTACTATCAAAAAAACATCATCGACGAATGCTTGTTTACCCACAGTCAGATTCTGACCTTGGTCTCGAGGTGACTTTAGGTAGAAGCCAGAATTCAGTCATTCTAGATAAAGGCTTAAACAGGATCTCATCACCATTCCTACCCAAACCAACACCTAACTGATTTCTTCTTCTTGAATGCTAGATGAATATGATGTGTTCCCTTGTTTTTATACCATACTGTCTTTTAAAAGCTGAGTGTCCTTTAAAAGCTATCCAACTCTAACATTATCTTTATTATACCTTTATCTAGGTATGAGGGATCATTGATAAGGGTGGTTCAAGCCAACACAGACAAAAAGCTGTAGCGTGCTTACCTCGGGGGTGCCCAATCATGCCGTGTGCAGTCAAGAAGTGTACCTACATAAGTCTTGTTCCTCCATGTTACATTCACCACTAACATCCCTGAAAGACAAGAAGACTCAGATATACACAAAAGAAACTCTGTTGGCCACTGTGAAGAGTATTTTCTGTCTGAGTAGCATTCTAGCTCCTGTAGAAGGGTTTAGGGGGTGCTCTATGTCCCAACAGGCCTAACAGCATTAGGCTGGAATAGTTCCATGGGAACTGCCTACAACACTACCAGGGGCCCTTAGGATGGGGAACATTTGCAAAGATTCCACGGTCCAGTTAAGGTACATTTTCCTAACTTTTAAAAAAACTATGCAGCATTTCAAATACACTAAAAAATACAAAGGTTAACTTAAAAAGCTCATGTGCCCATGTAGCAGCTCAATGGATTTATAAGATTTTATGCTATACTTGCAACAAATTTCTATTTTAAAGAACAAAATATAGCTGAAAAACACTGTTTACTGTATTTTCAAACCTGCCAATGGTGGGATCATGCTGGTTGTATAACTTACCTCTCTCACTTAACATTAAAAATTTAAGATATATCAATGTTGACATGAAGAGCTTAACCCATTTGTTTTAATGGTGCTCAAGTATGTCACTGCATGACTCAACCACAATTTATACATCCTACTGATGGAAATTTAGATGTTTCTTGCACATTTTCACTATAAATGACATGATAATGAGCATTCCTGACATGTTCATTTTATTTTAAAATGGTTTTGAATAAATAAGTCACATTCCGAAATTTAAAAAGTAGCCAAAAAAAAAAAAAGCAAACAAACCCCAAGATAAAATGAAGTGTTCTTCCTGTCACTATTCTTCAGCTTTTCAGGTCCCCTACTCAGAAACATCCATGGATATCCATGTATTCCTCCAGAGGCATTTTATATATTTATAAGCAAATATGTTTATATATTCTTCCTCAGATGGTAGCAGTGTACACCAATATTATGCACATTTCCCATGTAACCATGTTTTGGATCATTCTATATGATCACACATAGAACTATTTCATTCTTTTCAATGGCTGCATATGCATGATTTCAAACTGTACCATCATTGATTTGACCACTTCCCTGTTGATGGACATTTGGGTTGCTTCACTCTTCCGCTACTACAAATAATGCTGAATAACTAATCTTGTACACATGCTTTATGTTACATATTATAGAATATATCTGTAAGGTAAATTCCTATAAGTAAATCTGCTACTTACAGAGTATTTGGATTTGGATTTTTCATAAATACTTCCAGTTTGTCCTCAAAGAGGATGTACTGATTTATAAAACCATTAGTGCATGAGAACACCTGTTATTCTTTCCCTTTGGCAATACAGTGTTCTCAAACTTTTTGGTTTTGCCAATGTGACAGGAGACAAATAGTGTTTTATGTACTTTTAATGTCATATTTCTTATTATCAGTTTGTATATCATTTCATTACAAGATACCAGCATGAAACATCTGTATTTCCTTTCTAGTGAACTGTCTGTTCATATCCTTTGCTCATTTTTCTACTGAATTATAGTCTTTTCTTATTTGTGACTGTTTACTGTGGAAAATTCTGAAAGAGATGGGAATACCAGACCACTTTACCTGCCTCCTAAGAAACCTGTATGCAGGTCAAGAAGCAACAGTTAGAACTGGACATGGAACAATGGACTGGTTCAAAATTGGGAAAGGTGTATGTCAAGGCTGTATATTAGCACCCTGCTTATTTAATTTATATGCAGAGTACATCATGCAAAATGCCAGGCTTGATGAAGCACAAGCTGGAATCAAGATTGCTGGGAGAAATATCAATAACCTCAGATATGCTGATGACATCACCCTTATGGCAGAAAGCAAAAAGGAACTAAAGAGTCTCTTGATGAAAGTAAAACAGGAGAGTGAAAACGTTGGCTTAAAACTTAACATTCAAAAAACGAACATCATGGCATCCGGTCCTATCACTTCATGGCAAAAAGATGGGGAAACAATGGAAACAGTAAGAGACTTTATTTTCTTGGGCACCAAAATCATTGCCAATGGTGACTGCAACCATGAAATTAAAAGATGCTTGCTCCTTGGAAGAAAAGCTATAACAAACCTAGACAGTGTATTAAAAAGTAGAGACATTATTTACTGACAAAGATCTGTCTAGTCAAAGCTATGGTTTTTCCAGTAGTCATGTATGGATGGTGAGAGTTGGACCATAAAGAAAGCTGAGCGCCAAAGAATTAATGCTTTTGAACTGTGGTGTTAGAGAAGACTCTTGAGAGTCCCTTGTACAGCAAGGAGATCCAACCAGTCAGTCCTAAAGGAAATCAGTCCTGAATATTCGTTGGAAGGACTGATGCTGAAGCTCCAATACTTTGGCCACCTGATGGGAAGAACTGACTCACTGGGAAAGACTCTGATGCTGGGAAAGATTAAAGGCAGGACGAGAAGGGGATGACAGAGGATAAGATGGTTGGATGGCATCACTGACTCGATGGACCCGAGTTTGAGCAAACTCCAGGAGTTGCTGATGGACAGGGAAGGAAGCCTGGCGTACTGCAGTCCATGGGGTCACAAAAACAAATATTTGTTATTTGTTTTTTTTCTTAATGGCTTCTCCGAGTATTTTCATGGTTTGAATTTTTGGCTCTTTCATCCATCTGGAATTTAACGTGGCATAAAATGTCTGACATGGACCTTTTTTTGTTTGGTTTGCTTTTTTTTTCCTTTGGCCACACTGCATGACTTAATGATTTCTTAAGTTTCCCAACCAGGGATTGAATGTGGGCCCTTGTCAGTGAGAGTGGAGTACTAACCACTGGACCTCCAGGGAATTCCCTGACATGGACCTTTTTTTTGTTTGTTTTGCCTTAATTCTAAATTATTTTTGGTCATTTTTCTATTTAATGAAGTAAAATATATTAAGCTTTTCCCTATGGTTTGTGCTTTTTATGTCTTACCACAAGGTCATGAACATTTTACCATGAAATATTTTAAAGGTATCTTTAGTAAGCTAAGAATGGTTTTTATATTTTTAGTGGTAGAAAAAAATGATAAAGAGAATATTATTTTATGTCATCTGAAATTATATGAAATTCAGATATTTCTCAGAAATAAAAGTTTTATTGGAACATAGCCACATTTATTCATTTACCCACTGTCTATGCCTGATTTCACGCCTCAAGGCAGACAGAGCTGAGTGTGTGTCATAGAGGCTATATGGCCCTCAAAGCCTAAAATATTTACTATTTGGCCCTTTATAGAAAACGTTCACCAACATCTGTTTTATATCTTTTTTCTTTTCTAATATAAGCATTGAAGATATAAATTACCCTCATTGCCCACTTTACTTGCATTTCACAAGTTTTAAAATGTTTTTATTATCATTCAGGTCAAAACATTTTCTAGTCCCCCCCCCCCCCCTTTTTTTAAATTCTGGGTTTATTTAGAAGAGTGTTGTCAAATTTTCAAATACCTGGAATTTTCCAACTATCCTTTTGTTTCTGATTTCTAATATAATTCTACTGTAGTTAGAGAACATACTATATATGATTTCAATCCTCTTAAATTTATTGAGAATCAATTTAGGTATAAAATATGGCCTATCTTGAAGAATATCCCATGTGCACTTGAAAAGAATATTTCAGAATGTATATTCTGCAGTTGTTGGGTAGCCTATATAGATCAAGTTGATTGATAATGTTTTTCAAATCTTGTATATCCTTATTAATTTTCTGTCTTATTAGTTATACTTGTTGCTTGTTCTTGCTGTAACGCCTATTTGGACCTTCTAGACTAATCCTCTTATCTTTCCAACCTATTTCCCATTTCTTTGTCTTTTGATGCTAAGGGATTTCCTTCATCTTCTAGGAAATTTTCACTTTTTTTCTATGACTCATACTGATCTCTCATATTCTTTTCTCTTTGTTTTTGATTCTTGCAACTTATAACTTTTTTCTTTGACTACAACATATAGGATAGAATTTATCCAATGTACTGAGTTTTTTAAAAATTTAAATGACTATAAGTAACAGTCATTCCTATCAAGGGTACTTTTTTAATGCTCCTGTTCTCTTTGGAATCAGATTTTAGAATGCTCTAACATAAAACCAGATCAGACAAGGGAGCTGGAAAAAAAAAAAAAAAGATTATCCTAACAGAAAGTCTCAATCTAATGAAATCAGTGCAAGAAGGAAGTTTGGTTTAGTCAATTGGATCTTTTTTTTTACCATTTTCTTTTTTTTCCCTCATGTATTTATTTTTAAACTGAAGTATAATTTACAATGTTGTGTTAATCCAAGTGTATAGCAAAGTGATTCAGCTCTGTGTATATATGTGTGTGTGTATATACACAGACAGACCTCCTAAGAAAGCAACTGGGCTAAATTCTCTCTGGCTGTTAGCAAAGTGAATTCATATGGATGTCTCTTCCCAGTGATAACCTGCTCTGATTACCAGATAACCAATTTGAATAGGAGCAGAATCCATTTATTTCTAGGCAAGGTAAGACTTCGAAGTTGGTGCCTCATTAACAAGGGCAGATGAGCTGTAAACAGAGAGCAGGTATACAGTAATAATAAGAATGTTATTCCTCTTCTTGAAACAGCTGGGCAGGAACATAGGTTTATAAATCTGTCTCCTTTCTCTGGTATAATCTGCAAACCTTAACAATAATGAATGAGCTGAAAAAATGACAGGTCAGACAGAGTGCTGGAAGTGGAAGAGGGGAAGAGAAAAAATTCTAATATGGAAAAACAAAATGGAAGCTTGTTTAAATGTCAGAACAAACAGTTTTCTAAAATATAACTCTCTTCCTACAAGGTTCCGGCTTGAGACAGCTGGGCGAATAAGAGGACAGGAAGGAAAAAGCAGAAAATAACAATTAACAGACCTAGTTTCACTATTAGGGGCTAACTATAGGGCAGCAAGGAGGCTAAAGAGAAAGAGAAAAATTGGTTTTCATTTGAGAAAGTTCCCTATTTTGAATAAGTGTTCACAAAATAAGGAAACGCTTGGCATATTTAAAGGTGATAATAATGCTAAAAGTAGAAGTAAAAGTAGTGCTTTGT